GTGTGTGTGTGAGTGTGTGTGTGTGTGTGTGTGTGTGTGTGTTGGCCCATCCGATACATCCTCACAATCTCAGTTTTCATAGGTTTGTGTCTGGAATGCCCTGCATGGAGCCAGCACTGTTTCACCACTTGGTGACATGATGTAGAACCGTTCTGTGAAGTGTTCGGACCTAAGACTGGGGAACTCTACATGCGTGTAGAGCCCCTGCCCCCTCAGTGTCACCTGCCCCCTCACCTCGTTCATCTTGTGTCCACTGCCCTACAGTTATACTGATTGTGTGGGTAGACCAGGCTTTGTTTTCTACAGTCTGCTGGTGGACACCTGGCCTTGGGCGGCTCTTCGCGTGGGTCCGGCTTCATTTCTCTTGGGGAGACCTGCTGGTGTAGTGGTTGTGTGTTGGGCTGCTAACCACAAGGTCGGCAGTTCGAACCCTCCATCCTCACTGGGGAAGAAAGAGGAAGCTGGCTGCTCTTGTGAAGGTTTATGGTGTCATGTAGGGTGACTGTGAGTTGGAGTCAGCTTGGTGGTTGTGGGTTTGTGTTTTGGGGGCTTGTGGTAAGTAATTCATTGGTGCTGTGGATTAGACATTGGGCAGCTAACTGTAGGATCAGCAGTTCAGACTGCTCCTCTGGAGACTGTGCTATTTACTTCCGTATAGAGTTAGTCTCAGAAACCCTATACAGGGTCGCTATGAGTCAGAACTGGCTCAACGGCACACGAGTGGGACTTGCTCAGTGGCTGTGCCTGATGAGACTTCTATGGTAACTCTACATGTGAATTTGTGAGGACCCTTACTGGCTAGAGTGGAGTGAGTGAGGTGGAAGACAAAGCCGTTAGGAGAAAAGGTGAGGGGAATCCTGTTACCGCAGGCCCTAAGGGGGTCAGACTGCACTACAGGCTTTGCTGTGTGACGGTCCTTGGGCTGGTGGTGACGGTCCTCTGCAGTTCCTGGTTTGGGGGTTGGCAGGATCTGACCAGGCCGACTTTTGTCCTCACTAGGAAGTTGCTGTCTAAGATTGCCCCCTGCCTGTGAGCCACCTGGCTCTCTAGTCCTCTGCTGGAGGCCCTGCCATGGCCATGCCCTGGGAACCATCTCCACAATCCATGCCATTTCCTCTGAGGCGTGCGGATTAGCCAGACTCGGAGGGGATGTGGAGCTTCTGGGGGTCGGGGGGGTTCTTTTCTGCTTTAGTTATTGTCAGGGGCGCAGTGGCTAAGAGGGGCTAAGTTTGTCTCTGCCACTTGGCAGACGTGTGACTTCAGGCAGGTACCTCCTGCTTTCTGTGCCTCAGATGACTAATCCGCAATTGTTCCTGCTTCCCAAGTGATGTCAGGAGGAGACAGAATTGAGGATTTTAAGGATCTAGCACGTGGTACATGAGAAGGGGTGAGCTCCTCATTACTGGGGGAAACCAAGCAGACAATAGCTATGGTAGGGTTCTGGCCTGTGTTGGCCTTGAGACCCCTTCCCTGCTGGACCCACAGACCCCTGCCCCGTTGCCTGCCAGCTCTGGCCAGCTCCCAGGCGAAGAGGTTTTCAGCCTCCAAGCGCAGGCAGCATTTCATCAACCAGGCAGTGCGGAACTCGGACCTCGTACCCAAGGCCAAGGGACGGAAGAGCCTTCAGCGCCTGGAGAACAGTGAGCAGGGGCGGTCGGGGGCTTCCAGACTTCAGAGGAGGTGGTGGTGGTGCGCTGTGGCGTTGTTTCCAACTCATAGGGACCCTGTACGGGGTTTCTGAGGCTGTAAATCTTTACGGGAGCAGAAAGCCTCCTCTTTCTCCCACGGAGCGGCTGGTAGTTTTGAATTGCTGACCTTGAGGTTCGCAGCCTGACTCGTAACCACTACACTACCAATGCTTATTGGCTTTCCTGTCAGCCTTCCCATGAACCCAGCCCTGAGCTGGAGACTGATGGAGACCCAGAGAGACCAGTTCTGGACCTGCATGGAGGGGGCAGTCAGTAAAGTCTCCTCCTAGAGATTCAGGGTTGGGCCAGAGTGAAGCTGGGGTTTTGCAGGATGTGTAGGAGTTCAAAGTCAGGGTGAGATAGAATTTAGGCACTGAAGGGTTTCCATGAATTCTGGGAAGGGCAGCTGGTGTACAGGGGGTGTGGGGAGCTAGATGCCAAAGCCTGGGGCAGCTAAGGCATCTAAAGATTTGGGAGAAGGGTGAGGATGTGAGGATTCACCCAGAGATGATGTTTCTATTCAGCCCAGTACCTCCTGACCCTGCTGGAGTCCGATGGGAACACTCCGGGCCCAGAGGATGGGGACATGGCGCCCCCCGCAGCCCCAGGAATCTTCGCTGAGGCCTGCAGCAATGCGACCTACATCGAGGTAGGTCCATAGCCCTCCGTCTCCTCTTTCCCCGAGCCCCCAGACTAGACCGGAACCTGCTGGTTGGGAGCATGTTTGACCCGGACCCTGGTCCCACCCACGACTGAGAGCCGGCTTTACTGAGGGGCCCACGAGGAGGTTTCCCCGGACTCTGTCCATCTGTCAGATGGGGAAAACTGAGGCCCAGAGCCTGTCTTCCAGGTCTGGAACGATTTCATGAACCGTTCCGGGGAGGAGCAGGAGCGGGTGCTCCGTTACCTGGAGGAGGAGGGCAGGAGCAAGGCCCGGAGGAAGGGGCCTGGCCGGGCGGAGGACCGGAGGAGAGGTACAGTGGGCGGGGCCTGGGGCCTTCTGGGGGCGGGGCCTGGGGCCTTCTAGGGTTGGGACCTGGGGCCTGGGGCCTTCTAGGGGCGGGACCTGGGGCCTTCTAGGGGCGGGGCCTGGGTCTTCTGGGGGCGGGGCCTGGGTCTTCTGGGGGCGGGGCCTGGCATGGGGCCCTTTCCAGGCGGCTTGTCCCAACAGCCTCCCCTTGGCCTTACGCAGAGGACCCGGCCTACACCCCACGAGAGTGCTTCCAGCGCATCAGCCGGCGCGTACGAGCGATCCTCAAGCGGAGCCGCATTCCCATGGTGAGCGCCAGGCACAGCCTGTTTGGAGTTTTGACTGCTATGCGTTCGTGGGTGGGGTGAGAAGAAGGGAACCGGCTGGTGGGATCGGAGAGTGGGAGAGGTGGGCACTGCGGGGTGTGTAGGAGTTCACCATGGAGCCCATCAAGTAGTTTCAAATATGGCTCAATGCTGCCTGGGGGCTGCTCGGACAGAGGGCGTCTGACCTCATCCCCAAACCTGTGTTTCCTGTAGGAGACATTGGAGACTTGGGAGGAGCGGCTGCTGAGTTTCTTCTCCGTGTCCCCCCAAGCTGTCTACACGGCCATGTTGGACAGCAGGTGACGGGGCAGGGGTGGGCACTGAGAACGTCCGCATGTAGCTTCTTCCTGCGGCCCCGGGCCCAGCCCGCTCACCACGCCTTTCCTCTACAGCTTCGAGAGACTCCTGCTTCACGCTGTCTGCCAGTACATGGACCTCAGCTCGGCCAGTGAGTTCCCAGTGGCCTTGGGGACTCCAGGGTCACTCGGGCTTGGGATATCCCATGGGAGGTGTCCTGCCACTGAGCAAAGATGGAACAGTGGACCTGAATGCATTTAATTGGCCAAAGTTCTGTGCTTGTGATGTTGGGGACAGAGCTGGTCAGCTAGATACAGACACCCTCAGTCCACGTCTTCAGAGCCAACGGCTCAGGGGACCTGATGGGGGTGATGGTGCTGGACCTTGAGATACCTCATTGATGAAATGCAGAACCCAGTATCCTGAGGGTTGTGGTACAGCCATAACCCTTCTCCATTGTCCCTCCAGACTATGGGCAGCCCCCCCCCTTCAGGTCTCAGGTGCCCCATCTGGTGCTGGCTCCCCACGCCACCTCCTCCATCCACCTCCTGCCTGGAGTTGCCGAGGAGACAGTTTCTGTGGCAACCCAGGGATCATTCCTCCTTCGTTCCCACGGCCCACATGCTGGCCTTTGTTCCTTCAGACTCTGAGTGGAGGGGCTTGGCTGGGGCCGGGGGGCTTCTCTGTGGGGTCGAGGTGTGGTCTGAACATGAAGCTGCAGTGGCTGGGGAGTAGGGGAGAGGGTCCTAGAGATGGGAGGTGTGGGTCAGTCATGGATAGTTCCGTTTCGGGTGTAGAAGGAGATGTGGGAAGAGGCGCGCGTCCGGGTTCCCAGTGCTTTAGAAGCAGCTGCTCAGGCTGCCACCTGCTGGGCAGGGGTGGAGGCGAGAGACCGTTGGTTAAGGCCTGGATTATCTCAGTGTTCCTATCTGTGCAATGGGCTAAGTAAGAGCAAGGGTGGAAGTAACAGTAGGCAGCTGTCAGTGTTCTCCAGAGCCGAGCCCTGGGGCCTCACAGTGTCTGAAGCAGTCTCAGAGCCTGCCCACAGGAGGATTGTAGTTGGCTGGACCCTCAAGACCCATGCTGCTGTGTGTGCCCAGACTCTCATGCGCCGCCCTTCCTTCCTGCCCCTCCTCGCCTTGTCTCACAGGTGCTGATCTGGAAGGCAAGCGGCAGATGAAAGTCAGCAATCGACACCTGGACTTTCTTCCTCCAGGGCTGCTCCTCTCTGCCTACCTGGAGCAGCGCAGCTGATGGTGGTCTTGCGGTCCTCCACCCGGCAGACCGCCAGTACTACTTGCTGAAATATTATCACTGTTTTTAGAATTTGTCATGGAAACCTGCTTTTCCCCTTGGGGTGGCTCTCTCACCCTTCTGTGGTCTCCGCCCAGCTCTCTCAGACAAGGGTTGGTGGCAGGAACTGCCCCAGACTCTCCAAGCAACCCTGGAGAACCCCATTCGGGGACTTGTATTTGGGCGAGGAGACCCAGCCTAGGTACTTCCATCTTTCTTCTTTGTTAAGTTTCTTATGGCCCATCCTGAAGCTCAATGGAGGAGCAGGGAGAGGCTGGGTTTTTATCACTTTTAATGAATTTGACATAATTTGTTGTAGATTTTAAATTTCCCTCTCAGGGGAGGGAACCCAAAATGCTGCCCCCCTGAAACATGGTGGGGCTTCATCCTGCCCGTTTGACCACCTCATTGTGTTTTGCTTGGGTGGGTGGGGTCTCTGGAGCCCCACCCTTTGCCCCAGGAGCATGTGTCATATATGTGTTTGTGTGTGTGAGTGCGTGTGCCCTGCAACCCAGCCCAGGAACAACTTAAAGGGCTGGTTTTACCATCTCTTCCGAATGCATGTCTGTCCATTCCCCCGTCCCCCACCCCCTCCGCCGTGTGCCTTTTGGCAGTTGTAAATTTGCTTGTGTGGTGTGGGTACATCTCTGCGTGTCCCCCTTGCTACCCTCTTCCCTCTCCTTTCCTTCATACTGGGGGCCCAGGACTTCCAGCCAGAAGCTCCAGCCCTCAGAAAGCCTGGTTCCGGTCCCGGCATCCCCTCTGCCCCTGTCTTGTTCTGGCTTTGTTAGGTCAAGGTGTCTCCAGCCCCCACGCTGGTCATCCTGCCCTGGGCTGAGAGATCTCCCCTGTGTGTGGCTAACTGCTTTTGGGAAAGTGAAGGGTTCAATAAATTTCTGGTGCTCTGGCCTTGGACTGTGTGGCTTTTTTCAGGGCCGGGGTTTGGGGACTTCTGGGTCCTGAGTCCTGCAGCTCTGGAGGGCAACTGCTAATCTTGGTACCCAGGTTCTAATCCCCTGTCCACCTTTTTCCACCTTTGTGGTCTGGATTGAGGCACTGATGGTTCTGTGCCCCGGTTTCGTTGATGCAACCGTGGCTGAAGTGAATGACCCTGGGTGGGCTTTCTGAGCAGCAGCCGGTGGGTTTGAACCGCCCAGTGCTAACCTTACAGTGCTACACCAAGACGTAGCTGCACTTTGGGTTTGAACCTCCAACCTTATGGTGAGCAGTGCAGTGTGTATCCTACATCGTTACATTTTACAGCGAGTTTGGTTTCCCACTGAAATTTTATATTGTCATTGTCATCTTATATCCCCTTGCCCACAGTGGTTTGTTTGTGGCCCTCTGCAATCCCATCTCTCCATTCGTAATTTCTGAGTCATTTGAGAGGGTGTTTCTGGCCTCAGGCCTGTCACCCCCTGGGAATCACAGGACCACCCTCTCTTAGGGAGTTTAATTTCGACACTGCCTTGGGAAAGCACAGTCCCCACATTTGGGGGTGGGTGTGAGGGTGGAGACTCCAAAACTTTTCAATTCTGCAGGAAGAAGAGGTTTTTCTCTTATTTCTCATTTATTTGTCCAATCATTTCTAGCAGTATAAACGCAAGGAAAGTTACTCTATACCCTGGATTGCAATCCAAAACGAATCTAGTTTGTCACTCAGATTATTCTAGCTCAGCCCTTGGGAGTGCTTCCAATTGTCTCCTGTGTGCACCCACGTACACATACCCCAACATTGTAGCGGGTTACTGAGTATTCTCTCACTGTCTGGTATTACAAGATGCTCTGGGAGCATTTTGTATTTTCCTGCCCCATGCTAGAGTTGGCCATTTCTTCGGTGGGTGAGCCTTGCACTTTCAATTGGGGTGTGATGTCTTAGTGGTTACGAATCGGGCTGTGAACCTTAACGTCAGCGGTTCGAAACTACCAGCTGCTCCGCGGGAGAAAGATGAGGCTTTCTACTCTCGTAAAGATTTACACCCTCGGAAACCTTGTACAGGGTCGCTATGGGTCAGAACCGACTCGATGGCACTTAACAACAACAACAACATCTAGGCGCTGAGTGTGTTTGATTTTAATGTACGTTTACAACATTTTCAAGACAGATGTTGAAATAGAATTCCAAACGTTTGGCAGAGGTGGTGCGTGACCGGTGTGGGGACAAAAGAACTGGCTGGAGTGACCAGTATGGGGGTTACGTATGGGCTGGGAAGTTGGAGATACTCTGTGGAGTTGTGGTGTACCACCTCTGTTCCACCTTAGGCTACTTAGACTGTGACGCGGATTTGAGTTCCACCTTGCCGATTTGAAAGGCAAGCCTCTTCCCCTCTTTGTTGTTGTTGTTGTTGTCAGATGCCATCGAGTCGGAACCGACTCATAGCGACCCTATGCACAGCAGAATGAAACAATGTTCGATCCTGGGCCAACCTCACTACCGCTGCCACACCTGAGTCCATCAATGATGCCACCTGGCTGATCCATCTCGTTGGGGGTCTTCCTCTTTTTCTCTGACCCTCCACCCTACCCAGCATGACATCCTTCTCCAGCGATTGTTTCCTCCGGACAATATGTCCAAAGTAGGAGAGACGAAGTTTAGCCATCCTGGCCTCCAAGGAGCACTCTGGCTGCACTTCTTCCAAAACAGATTTATTGGTTCTTTTGGCAGTCCATGGCACTTTCAGTATTCTCCTCCAACACCACAACTCAAAGGCATCAATTCTTCTACGATCTTCCTTATTCACTGTCCAGCTTTCGCATCCATATGAGGCTATTGAAAACACAATGGCCTCGGTCAGGCGCACCCTAGTCCTCAAGCTGACATCTCTACTCTTCAACACTTTAAAAAGTTCCTGTGCAGCAGATTTGCCCAGTGCAATACGTCCTCTGATCTCTTGACTGCTACTTCCGCGAATGTTGATAGTTGATCTGTGGGTCTGTTGAACGGATGTCCATCCGTTTGTCTATCTCAGTAGCCCAAGAGAGGCAGGGTCTGGTGGAAATAGAATGAGTTTCTTGGGGAAAAGTGGGGTTTGGAAGTGGTAAGCTCCTTACAGGCCCCAGTAGCCCTCAATTTTCCTACACATAAAAGGGAACAAAATATGGAACGCTTCACGAATTTGCGTGTCATCCTTGCGCAGGGGCCATGCTAATCTTCTCTGTATCGTTCCAATTTTAGTATATGTGCTGCCGAAGCGAGCACAAATGCAGCGTGGTGAACATCACTATTTATAGTAGGCAAAATAAAATCTTTTAAAGTGAGGGTGACTTGTTAGAATGAACGTTATCAATTTACAAACTTTGTACATGCCACTAGTATAGCCCATAGCATAACAGCTAGTTTTTGTTTGACAACTGTAGTGGCGAAAGTTGGAGAAAGTGTTTATTGTTCTACCAAATATAATTGCGGTTGCTGCTGGGAAGATTTCATGTAAACGAGATCTGCATGCAAATTAATGAGTTGGGGCGGAGCCGGATCTGCCGTCATCCCAGAAGTCCCTGGGAAGTTGCGGCGCCGCGCTGGTCTCGGGAAAGATGGCGGCGCCGGAGCCGGACAGTTAGCGGGAGTGTGGGCCGTGGCCGTCCGATCGGTTTGGCACACGGGCCGGCCACGTGAGCGCGGAGCTGCGGGAACCTGGCAGGACGTCCGGCGTCCGGACGGTGTCCGCGGGCCTGAGTGTCCGCAGGTGGGGCCTTGAAGGCAGGGGCAGGGCTTGCGGGGTCACAGGGCGGGACCCGGAAGTAAAGAGTGCTGGGTAGGCGACCTGGCTCACGTTGGGGCGGACCTAGAGATTGTTAAGGACATTTTGGGGGGAGTTTAGGCCCACTCGGAGTCGGCCTGCGGGTCGTGGGGGAGCCGGGGTGAGGACTGGAGGGGGAATGCTTCCGGGGGCGGAGCCTGGGGGGCGAAGGGTGTAGTGTGGGCGTCTGGGACGTGGGGGGAGGCTCGATTCTCACCCGCCACCTGTTCCTACTGCCTTCCCAGTCTCCTTCACACAGCCATGGGGTCCTGTTAAAACAAATAGCTGCCACCTTCCGGGGGCTCCTACCATCCTCCGGTCAGAGCCGGAGTCCGCCCCGCCGACAGGACACGATCTGCGCCATCCCATTCTTCTGTCCCTCTCATTCACCCCTGTTCCCTCAGTGGTCTCAGGGCCTTTGCACATGCAGAACCGGCCATCTTTCCTCTCAAATGTCTGATTCCCCCATTTGCAACTCCACACTAGCCCCCTCCCCCCAGTATTCCTAGATATCCCAGGGCAGGGATGTGGGCTATTTGGTTCATCCAGAGCCCCCTCGCCCCCAGGCCGGTGACATCCACGGTGTGTAGGGGGTGGCACGATGGACCTGGCTTACGTCTGCGAGTGGGAGAAATGGCCCAAGAGCTCCCACTGCCCATCAGTGGCCCTGGCCTGTGCGTGGTCCTGCCGCAACCTCATTGCCTTCACCACAGACCTCCGAAATGACGATCAAGGTGCGCCCCCCCAATACATGGTGTTGTAACCCAGACTCCTGTGGACCAGCCCCCACCCAGCAGGTGCCCTGGGTGTTTAGCTGACTCACAGTCTCTCAGATGTGTCGGGTAATCAGAGAGGGGTGCTTGGGATGCCCCGCCCCCCCCAGTGGTGGTGGGATGTCACGGAGGCTTCTTGGAAGACGCAGTTGGCCCAGTTTCCATTCAGTCTTTGAACAGACATCACGGTGGCTTTTGAAAGCCTGTGAGGGACACGGTGCCCCTGCCCGCAAACCCTCCGCCATTGTCTGCATAATACGAGCTCATTAGAGAAAATTAGAAAAGTACAGAAAATCAGAATGCACAAATGCCTGCTGTTGGCTGTTGTTAGCATCTTGGGTTCATTTTCTCCCATTTTCGCTGTCTGTGCCTTTTGTGAGCACAGGTTTCCGTCACACTGGCAGTGTGCTCCCTGCCTGCGTCTGTTGGTGGGGGTCACACTCTCACCCTGTCACCGTGGTTTCTCTGTGGGTGAGGTCTGGGGGGTGCTCCCTCTGGACCCTGCTGACCACGCTCTGCCCCACAGACCTGACCCACATGATTCACATCCTGGACACTGAGCACCCCTGGGATGTGCACTCCATCGACTCGGAGCATCGCGAGGCCATTACGTGCCTTGAGTGGGACCAGTCAGGTGAGGGCCGGGGTCCCTCCACCTCACGCTGCACTTGCTGCTGGGCTGTGACCCAGACGGGACTACCCCTGGCATGCCTCACACACCATCCTTGCCCTTGGAAGCCTGTCCCCTTCTCCAGGGCCCTTGGGAGCTTTCCCCTGCACTTCAGGGAGGGCTTGTGACACTAGTTTGTCCCTTAGGCTCCCGGCTCCTGTCGGCTGATGCTGACGGACAGATCAGATGCTGGAGCATGGCGGACCATCTGGCCAATAGCTGGGAGAGCCCAGTGGGCAGTCTGGTAGAGGGAGACCCAATTGTGGCCCTATCCTGGCTGCATAATGGGGTGAAGCTGGCCCTGCATGTGGAAAAAGTGAGTGACCCGCCTGAGCCAGTGACCCTGTTGCCGTGGCTCCTCCCTTCCGCCACCTGCTCCTCCCCCAACCTTTGAGTCCTGGGCCCAGCTCACACCTCTGTTCCCACTGTCAGCTTCATTTAACTGGTGGCTGCTGTTCGCATGAGCTGCCTGTTTGCACTGATGGCTGCCTTCTTCACAACCCAGCCCACCCTGTGATCCAGTTGTTAGGTGCCTCCGAGTCAGTACCGACTCATAGCGGACTTATGCACAACACAACAAAACACTGCCCGATCCTGGGCCAACCTCACTACTGTTGCCACGCTTGAGTCCATTGATGCTGCCACTTTGCCAATCCATCTAGTTGGGGGTCTTCCTCTTTTTCTCTGACCCTCCACCCTACCAAACATCTTTCTCCAGTGACTGGTCCCTCCTGACAATATGTCCCAAGTATGAGAGACGAAGTTTGGCCATCCTGGCCTCCAAGGAG